CTGTCCCGCCTTCACCTCCGGTTTGACGGCTACTCCAATATCCTCCGCTAGCACCGTTGCGTTCATTTTTTGCTCCGCGTAGAGAGGCCATGCTATAATTGGCACGCCGTGAACTATACTTTCCAATGTTGAATTCCATCCACAATGAGATACGAACCCACCTGTTGACGGATGGCGGAGCACGGCCGCTTGGGAAGCCCACAACGGTACCACCACTCCCACTCCCCGTATCTTCTCCAGGAACCCTTCGGGAAGATATTCCTCTGGGCTATATGTATCACTGCCCACATTGAAAAACGTCCCTGAACCAATAAACAAGAACTCAGTGCGCTCAAATTTACAAAAAATATCTACAAATTTGAAATTTGTGTATGTACGTACCTGAACTAGAAGCTTCCGTTGGTTTACGTACCACCCATATGAATCGTTGCCGACTCAGTTCTAAACCCCAAGCCAACTCAGTCATCTGCTCCCCTGACAAAGTTCCACCACTACCAAGCACTACAAAGAGAACAGAGTTCGGTGATTGCTCATCTAGCCATGACATGTATTCCGTGGCTGATTCATCATGTTCCTCTTGTTTAATCACCGGTCCAATTGGATAAACAGGCGGTATCATACTCTTGAAGAATGGATTCTCTCTTATTGCTTTTAGGGGGACCGGTTCAAGATCTTCCCACGAGTTCAAAAATATACCATCAGCCAAACGCCACCGGCTCGTGTGAAACAAAAACCATGTATATTGATCACTTTTTCTGTTATATTACAAAGCAACATATTTGTGTCAACAAGAGCTAGCAGTATCTTGATTAATGAAATACGGAGTTGGGATGAGTTTAATTAGACAGAAGCCATCAAAGTTACAAAAATTGGCAATTTGATTCAATTTTGAGATGGACCAGAGTTATTTAATGTGCCAGAAGAAAAATGAAAAAGAAAATGAAATACAAGCGTGTATCTACATGATCTTTCTGTTTGAGTCCTTTTTCATTACCTGATACGGACCTGCTCTAGCAGGTCTTCTATTCGTACAGGACTGCAACCAGGGACCTGAATCGGTTCAGGAAGATCAGCCAAATCACCCTCAACAGTCCGGTCAAGCTCCCCAAAATACAGGGAGAAGGCGAAGAAAGAAACCGAGGTAGTGATAAATGAGTACGCGGGAATTGAAAGTTCACGGCAAACTTCGAAAGCCTGTGTGCAGAAGATATCCACTATAAGAGCCTTCGGGATGCCTATATCCACCAAGACCGATTTTAAGGACCGGAGGCTCTCTTCTGTGATGGTGCAGATACGGGTTAAGAGTTGCATCTCACTGTTGGTGACTTTATCAACGTCGACAGGAGGAAGGTGGACGAGGCGGAGATCGGGAGGGAGGTTTGAAGGCTGGAGGAGTTGGCCGTTTGCGGCTGATGACGAGGAGTCATCGGTGGTGGTGGTGATGACGAGGAAGCTGATCTGGAGGTCATGATGAAGGACAAGGCGCTTGGAGAATTCAAAGAGAGGGATGAGGTGACCCAAGCCAACACTGGCCATCACCGCGACATGCGGCTTCATGGTAGCGGTGTTTTCAGTTTGCCCCTAATACTGTATGATTCTACAGAATGGATGGCTCCCCCCAGCTGGCCTCGGTTCGCCTCCAAATTTAAAGACTTTGATAAATTAGACTGAAATTTAAAATTAAAATTTCAAATTAATGATATGGTATAAATTATTTTATTTAAAATATTAAAAATAAATTTTATATTATTTAATGATTGATTTTTTTATTTTTTTAATTTATAATATTATATATATCAATT